AGGGACAAAACGAGCCAATAGCAGCAAAGCAAGATTAGTAACGGTATTTTAGCCAATGGCTGGGCCTTCGTTGCTTTTAAAGCGTTTGAATTTAGACAAAAAAAATACGGAATTAACTAAAAACAGTTTTTAAGCTGCACAGATGTAAGCGGAACAGATGTATTTAAAAATATTAAAAAATAATACAGACGTAGACGTACCTCCTTTTGGGAAGTCTGTCAAAAAAAAATTGCCACTGTCTTAGAGAAATACAGTTATTATTGCTTTTAACATATTGGCTAAACAAGAAAACAACCAAAAACAAATATTTAAGTATGTAAAAAACGTCTTAAGAGCGGGCGCAGTTCTTTGACTAAAATATCGCAGAACTGTTGTGCGATTGTCGATTGTTATGCCAAATCAACTGTTTAGTTACACAACTAATAATCGAGTAGTTTAACCTACATATAAGTCATAGGAATCAAAGCAAGACTAAATAGTTCTGCGATTATTTAGTCACACGTCTAGTTTTAATCTCTTTTCTTTCCCACCCTTTATCGTATAAGGTTGGGAAGGGAATGTGGAATTGACGGTGTAGGAGACATGGAGAGACATCCTCTTTTGTGCGTCTCCTCCGTCGATTAAGGGAAGGCAAAGCTATTGCGAATATATATAGGCATCGGTTGCTTCGCCAATTTGGCGAATTTCAGCCGTTTGCCACCTGATATGAAAATATCTGGCCATTATTAAAATTTGATAATTACGAAAAAACGTATTGAAGAATAGCAATAGATAAAAATTTGAAGATTCGAGAAATGAAAATACATGCAATGATATCCACAAAATCCATATACTAAAAAATATTCCTTGATAATTCTAGCAAACACTAATGTTTCCAGCTAAATAATTGTATAAATCAAATAGGGGATATAACCAAGCACTTTAGGTTAAAAAACCCTTCCATTTTCTGAAAAAAAAGTTACAAAAAAATCACGAAAAAAGATTGAAAATATCTGGTGTGTTTGAAAAATCTTTGAAATTGCAAGAAAATCACTTAAATTCTCTCTTTAATTTAGATAATCTGCAGATCATAAATTTTATTTGAGATATTTTTTATCTGAAACATCCCATTATGTAAATAACGTAAAATTTACTTTCAATATTACTTTTAAGTATAAAATACTAGTAACTTTGATATTTGGAAGTTAGTATTGGCCAAAAAAACGTGCTTTAGGACCTGTCCCACCAAATTGTCAGATAACAATCGAACGTTAAACACAGTGACGTCATTTAAGCTATCTGAGCTATCACCCAGTGGGACTGGCCTTAAATGACATAAGACGCCATTTTGAAATGTCAGATTGATCTGTCAAATTTAATCGATTTATAATCGATTTTAATTTGTCACAAAAAAGCTTTTTTGACATATTAAAAATTGCAGTAAACCAATGTTTGTTATTGCGATCAAAGATTTTCAACAATATTCGTGAATTCTTTTCACAATTCAAACTCGAGTCTATACAAATTATAAACACAATTTTTAACATTTTCTTATATGCAAAGAAATTAATATTGTCTCCGTAGATGGAAATCTAAACTGTAAAATCATAATTTAGAGAAATACGCGATGTAGTTTTTTTGGGGGTTTTCGTAGCTTATGAAGCTAAAACAATTTTATATGTTTCCGATTTAATTTTTTCCCCTACTATATTGCCACAAGGAACACAAAAAAGTCTATATTTTTAGACCGATAAGATATAAGAAACGTTATTTTTGACCAAAATTGCAGTTTAGTTTTCCACTTACGGAGATTTTATACCCCAATATAACGAGATTTTATATTTCTGGTCATTTTTTTTATAATCTAACTAGGCATATAATAGTTTACAAACTAGATTTAACCGTCAAATTGTAAACTAGACATGACCCAAGGTCCTAGTTGACTTTACCCACCCTAGACTTACCCTAGATGCTAGGAAGGGGGCAGCAGCTAGCATGAAAACTCATTCCAAAACAGTTTTTTGTCTATTTTTATTTTTTTATGATACCTAAGGAGGGTAGTTGCCCCCTTACTCCCCTGACGACGCCCTAATAGAATTCTTGTTTAAAATTTAAGGGCAGTTTTTTTAGGATATATGAAACAAGATGTTTATCAAAGAAAATAGAGTTTTATTTCGTTCAGAGTTCATATTTCAGTTTACAATCTGCCGTATGCCTAGTCATTTTATAAAATGACATAATGTAACAATTTCTATTTATTACACTTTGTATTACAAAGTAAATTTACATTTAATTACAACATAAAAAGCCTAAATCCTTTTTACAGTCATAAATCAAAATCGATTTTACAATAGTCGATTGATTCGATTTTCTATTCGTCAATATCGCATAATAATCGATATATCGATTATCACGATGTCACATCCCTAATATTGACAACTGTCAAAAAGTACCTCATGTTGATTCTCTTGTATATTGATACACTAGTGGTCGACCGCGACTTTGTAAACAGGTAATTTAAAAAAAACTAGCCTACATCATTCCCGCACATATAAGCTATTTTTCAGTCAAAGTCCCATCAAAATCTGTCCATCCGTTTTGAAGATTATTCGAAACAAACGAATGTTTTTTTAACTAATATTTATCAAAACGCTGTTCAAATATTTAGGATTTTTTTAGTTTTCGACATTAGATACAGAAACATGACTTACTATTTCATCATAGTATATGAAAAATACGCAAGCGTCTACAGAAATTCGAAATAACCAATATAAATAAAATAAGAGTGTAGTATTTAAAAATATAAGTTTTAAAAATCATCGTTAAAATGTCTTATCTGTTTGGAAATCAATACTTATTCTGTGTAATCTCAGGAAAGAGTAAACGAATTTTGACAGGTCTTTGACAGGAGTTTGACAGGTAATGTTTTAAGGTTTTTTTTTTAACTACTAAGCTGACAAAGTCGCGGACAATCGTTAGTTATTTCTTAATTTTCTTGTCAATTATTTTTACTGTGTACAATTATGATTAAAAACCACTAAATCCCTTACTTTATCCAATTAACGACGATAACCACTAGTTTTTACATTTCGCAAAATAAATCGCATTATTTTTAGTTAAATTTTATTTTGTACTAACGTTTTTTAAGCATATATCTTTAGATTTAAAACATAATTGACCGGCAAAAAGATATCTTTAAAACCTGATTTTATAAAAACCCACGATTATTTAGCTGTAAAACAATTAAAATCAGCATATTTACTAAAAAAAAGCTCATTTTTTCACAAATAAATTAACAGACTCATATTTTGTCATGTTGGAGTCGAAAGTCAATATTTTCCCTTTACATTAAAAACTTTGCTTACATAGAAATCATAGGCTTTCACAGTAAAAGATATACAGCTGTCAAAAGTAACAACTGTCAAAAAGACTGTCGTTAATTTAGACCACTGTCAAAATCACAGCAGTCAAACTTGACAGTTGTCATGACACCTCTCTAGAGTCCTATGTCTAAGACCACTGTCACAAATGTCAAATTCGACAAGTGTCACTTTCGAAAACTGTATCAGGACACCTGTCAAAAGAGAACTATAACGAAATCAGTCTCCCAAATTTGACAGTTGTCATAACACAGCTGTCAAAAGCTACAATGACCAACGACAGTCAACATTTACTGTCAAGATACAACTGTCAAATGACATCAACTGTCGGTTAGCATCCGATAAATTGTATAAATAAAATCCATACTATATACATTACATAAGCGTCTCTTAAAGACAGTTCGATTAACAAACGCGTTCCCATCAATCGAGCTTGACAGCTGTCAGCTGTCAACTGTCAAATCACTGGACGTAACTTAACCGTGGTAACTAAGTCTATGCATATAAAGGCATCCGTAGAGATCTTACAGGTTGTAACCTGTCACGATAATCTTGACAGTGTCAAGGTCAGTCTTGTCCGTCACTGTCACACGTCACTTTGCGCAGAGTGACGCGTACGTCAACATCATAAGCGCGTCAAGGCCGACATGCGACCTTTTTGGATTACCTGTGGGCAAAACGCCGTTTTAAGTAAGCAATTACAATAGCATATAAACGTTTAAAGCCTTTTAGTTAGAAATTATGGAAAGATGATTTACAATAATTGACAATAAACACTATTTCATGTTTTTTCTTGTCTTTAATCATTAATTTGAATGCCTGCTGCTATCTAATTGGTTAAAATGAGGCGAAGTTTGTCTCATTTTAATGTGCAAGACGAATATTGAATGGAACATCACGGATTTTTCCTACTGTACATAAGGGCGGGGGCA